TCAAGGCTGCTGAGCCCTAAGAACTGTAATTTCAAGCTAGGCCTAGGCCAAAGGTTCAACCGTGAGCAAGACCTTCGAATTCAACCTCGGTTCGATCTCTGAGGATAAAGATAATTGGTATCAAAATAATTAAACTATTTCTTGGTTTATTTGATGATAAGTTATATACTACAATACTTCATTTGTTCTTCTTCACAAACCCCCTTCTTCACCCATTTTAATGTACAAAGCCTAGTCCTTCTAATACAATTCTAATATGAAAACTTAAATTTTTAAACATTAGGATATCTACCTATTATGTGTTTTTTGGTAATTCAATAATTTTATTAAGGGTTAAAAAGGTACCTAAATTCATAATACAAGTAGAATTCACACCACAAAACAAAGCAAAGGGTCCCAACTAACAAAACAAAAACTGTCAAGGCCAATACCAGAGAACAAGGACTGATGGCGCATTCCCCTGCTACATTTTATAAACAATTAGTCTCTCATTTCAGCGCATAGCAACACATAACAATGCAATAAACCTCAAGTGGAGGGTGAACCAGGTATTGTTGTTGTGCATAATTAGTCTTACATAGACCCGTGTTACTGATGCTGCCCCTTCTTACCTCTTTATTGCTGTCCTTGCTAACAAAAATCTAAATTTTGATACAACACCAAAGATCCTCCAATTGTAATGCATGTGACATCTCACCCTCACAGAACACCCCATACTTGTATTGTAAAACCCCTGTCACAACCCCGTATGTCATGAACCCATAAACCCCAGACAGGCATTTGATCGAGCACTTGATGTGCATGACCAAAAGAAACTCTAGTCCTGCCTCAATTCACCAAAATCAAAGATATAAGGATAGCAATCCCATACCACAAACACGTAGCCCAATAAAAATTAATCCACCATCCAAAACCATTAAATTTAGCAGACTTACTTTGAAACCAAAAGCATGCTTTCACACAAATCTCTGAGATCAATCGAATATTTATAGGTTGTGTACCTTGGTGTTAGTGTTCCAAATCTTGATTGCGTCTCTCGATTGTAAATCAAAAGAAACAGAAAAACCCTTAAAGACTTCAAAATCGAAAAAATTGAACCCTTGACTCTTGAGGTAGGTCCATGAAAAAGAAAAAATCTTAAAATCATTTAAACCCGAATGACGTGTTCTCTTGGGTTTGATTTCACAACCCTCCAATATCCAAACCCCATTAATGACATCAGAATCCAGTGAATAATGTAATCCTTACCAGATTTTTGAATCCATGTTTAGCTTTAAGTTTGAACACTTTGAACAAGGGAGAAAACTTTTCTAAATAACTTTTTTTTAAACAATTTTTACGTACTTAAGTAAATTAATATGTATAATATTATTTATACTTTTAAAATTAAAAAAATTATTAAATAACACATAAAAGTTTGAGAAATTTTTTTTAAAAAAACCATCTCTTAACTATTTTTCATAATTCATTCCATAAAACTAAGTTATATGTATTAATTCGGTTAAAAAAATATTTTTCCTTTTAAATAATGACTATCAACGTGAAATTTGTAACATAATACACAGATAATCTCTAACCAATATATAAGGTAGCACTTTTACTATAGTATCAAGTTCTTATTGGTTAGATTGAGGCACTATCCCAAAGAATTTTTCGTAATTAGGATATGCATTCTCTTTTAAGGCTCCGGCCTGCTCCGTAGATTTGAAAAGAGTAATTTTGGGATGAAAATTTAGATTAATTATATTATTAAATCAATTAATACATATGAATAGTTTTAGCTGCGGAATCTTCAAAAACTTTCTTTTCCATTCTGGAGCGACACTCGACCTCAGTACTGTGGGCATGAGGGTTACAAACTCAAATGCAATGGAGATGGTTCGCACCCTGTTAT